GAAGCGAAGTGATGGGTAATGTACAAGTAAGTAATGCAAAACTGGTCATGAGGAACTCGATTCTAGTTCGGAACTACTACGGAACAAACAAATATTTTCATTGTCATTAGCATCGTATACGGAATTGGAAATGGGACGTACCACGTAGTGTTTATGGACCAATTTCCTTTCCTTATTTAATACCATGCAACAGGAAAATAAACAGTATCCCTGCTATTGGAAATGGACGAAAATCACCGGACCACTGAATCGAATGTGGTCCGAAACTGTTCTGGTATGTTTGTTATCAGTTTATGCACGCTATCAGGTTCACTTATTTACTGTAACAGCTCCTCACTAGGGAAAATTTAGATAGATAAATGTGGCTGTTTAATGAAACAATGTGGAGTCAAATCAAAAATGAAATAAAATGATCATCTTCAAGTAAATTTTCGAACGTCATAGAATAAGAGAACTCGGATCAGCTCATGAGCTTTTGATACCTCTTCACGAACCATTCTAGGAAAAATGTGATCACATTGATACGGGCCCCGCATTTAACTTTTTTCTATCCGAGGAGATATGCTCATCAAGTAGTCATGGTGATGCGCACTATATGTTAGCAAGCCTTGAGGGTAATTGCGAGCTCCGTTTACACTAATCAAATTACGCAACTTATTGTAAAAAGGCTGTTTGGGGTTCAACCCAGATAACCGGAAGAGTGGACTGACAAACTGTGGTACAACTAGGACTCGAATAGCGCGAACGTGGATTCGGACTGAACACCCAGTAAACGTGACAAGATCAGGAAGACGAGCAGTGAATACAGTCCATTCCATACAGAACCACATGCACATAAATATCGCAAGTCAGAACCACATATTGGCTGCCATTCAACACACAACGGAGGAAGTCAGGCGGTGCTGGTGGGATTCGAACACACATTCCGGGGTGATAATTTAGCGACGTTACCACCGGGCCACCATCGCCCTTCAGTTCCATTGCTTCACATAAACATTTCAAAGTGACCAATCCCAAATATAATTATACGAGCATGAGTAGGAACAACGCGTAATGTTATGGTTAGCCGAATTTGTAATATATATAGTTCGATGCCCACACATTTATCTGGTCTTTCTATTTCACATACTGTTCATAGATGTGAAGTTAATTTGGAGTGCTTACAGAATTTGAGAACCGGAGAATCACTCCAAGAAATTGATCAATACTTTGTTTTTTCATGATTGATTGACCGTGAATAGATGGATTGATCCTTTCAAAGGTACAGGTGGTTGTCGAAGCATTCCAGGGACTGGGAGAGCAGAAGGTTACATCCAGGACTCCCAGACTTTCCTATTGTTTTTTTGAAGTTTATTCGAACCGTATTCATCAACTGGGGTCGGTAGTCAGTTTTGTCCACACCGAACATGGATATCGATGAAGGAGGAACATTCCTGTTCCTTGCCTCCGGAAGCCTCAGTATGGTCGGGGGTGGAGGGTCTTTGGTTGTGGCTGGTCACCCTTTCCTTGTACCTGGCAGAATGCTCCCATACGACCAAGCGTCTCATATAGACTCTGCCGGGGACACCCTGCTCACTGCCGTCGAGCGGCGGTGGTGTTTCCCACCAAAGTGAGACAACAAAAACTAAAATCCGGGGCTACAACCGGGTAGTAGTAGTAGTAGTAGTAGTAGTAGTAGTAGTAGTAGTAGTAGTAGTAGTAGTAGAAGTAGTAGTAGTAGTAGATCGCAGTACCACGACTATGATCTAATCATGGACTTATGAACTTACGCATTCATACATGTCTCAGACTCATGCAAAACTCTATCTTCTCAAATCTGCATGCAGCACTTCCACCTCCCTCCACTCCCCACCCCACACAAACCCTATTTATTCCACTGTAGGTCTCATCTCGAATGGTTCCACTGACGTGGGTTCATGCTGTAACGCGCCACTATCCTCCTTGACATCTGCCTCATTCGAAGTCGACCGTTTTATTACTCTGACCTCACTCTGCGTTGAATGATGAACTCCAAACGAACCCGCTTGCGGACAAGTATGGTGCCAACGCCACAACAATAATAACAAAAACACTAAGGGGAGGGGGATTGGAATGCAGAAAAAGACGGAACTGTTAAAATGGAAAATTACAAATAAATGGGATGACATTTTTTTTGTTTCACCGTACGCTTTTTGAAATTTTTGTGTACGTGATACCTGGAGCGTCATAACGGTGGGAAAATTTTTTGCATTTCATTGGACAGCTACCATCCTCTCAGGCCGGGTAGCCTCCGGCAAATAAGGTGTTGTCGCGTCCATGTGCCGTTTCCACAGGCCGATTTCGAACAGCGGACTGTCAGCCAACGCACCAGCGAATAACACACTGAACAGAAACCCAAAGGCTTTACTGGATAGTTCTCTAGAGCTCCCACAAGGGTGCTGCCATCACACTTCCACATTGGATCTACGCCTTATTACCTTGTGGGTCAGAATTGAGTCAAAGGCTGCGGTCAGGGTCCTCAAAGACCCCTTCGTCTGTATGAGCTACAGCAAAGTATGTCGTGCTCCAAAGAGACTTAATGTGGCCTACAAATGACTGGTTCGTTTATCGTGCGTGCCTACACCTGGACTGATTGACTGACAGATGTTGTCTGCTAACACGCGCGCACACTCAAACCACGACTCCAGAACAGTAATGATCGGTATCAGCTAATCCGATGTTAGTATTGGCCCGTCCTCGCTAATTGATTATTTGACTATTTGAATGCCTGCTTGACCACATTCAGTTGTCGTGCGACGCATGAGCCACTTTTGTTGACTTGCCTGCTTTCCTACCTGTTTCTGCTTGCTCATCAGCCTATGGAGCGGCAACATGTGCGTCCCCTACAATAAACGTATTACATAATTGACTGCGTGCTTAAACGTACTTAAACGGGACAGCACTCATTCGAAAAACCATCTTAGTTATCTGTCTAGTTCTTCCACTCATTCCGAAATTTTAGGAGCTTCCTCCTGTTTGCAACACTCATGGGATATAACACAGCGTTCAACTAGTAAAGTGAACCAGCCACAAGCTATCAAATTTTTGAAACTAAAATCTCCTTTTCAATTAGTCACATTTAATTCGATCGGTCAACTAGCTACCTTGAAACATTCAATTTAGATGCATACTGTCTCCGAAACACGCACGCAATACACATGGAAGTCAGTGGCGCAAATGCTGAACGGCCTACCCGTTGAAATTCCGTGTCCCATAAAAAACAAAAAATATCAAACAAAACAAGCAAAAAGTTATTCTCGTTTTTCGTTCTATATATAATGTAAAACTAATCTGCAGCTCGGTGAGTGGATTTGAGAGGAACGAGTCTCGAAAGAATCACTGCGATGATTCTGTGTCATGTGTTGTACGTAAGAAGCATCGAATCTCAGCCAACTCGACACTAGGGCCGATTTTGTTTTTTATAATAAGTAGTATATGAATGACTGGACTGAGAATTCTGTTCAGTCACTCATATACTACTCACCATATATATATATATATATAGTATATATATATATATATATATATATATATATATATATATATATATATAC